CTCTCTCTCTCTCTCTCTCTCTCTCTCTCTCTCTCTCTCTCTCTCTCGATGTCTCTGTCGAACGCAAGAATTCTATGACGTGCAAGTTTCTCATTTAATTTTTATGACTTTTTTCTATGGTATTTCATAATGAGTGATATTTTTTGTTCATTCAAATGCGAGCTCAAATGAAATTTCTTTCGGCGAAAAAAAAGTCAAAGTACTCTCTTTACGTAATGCATATAAAACCCGTGATTTTTCTTTTCATTGTTGTTGTTTCTACTGTCGTTTGCACTCTTAGCGCCATTTCATGTCATTGAAATGGGTTATACTTTGAAAAAGGAATTGCTATGAGAGGGAAACGAGAGAGAAGAATTTAAAAAAACTGCCAAAGGATCAGCACTTCTGGTGAAAACTGTATGAGGGGGACAACAGGCCAATTTTAGCATCATATCGAAGCCACACAGACACAGCAAGAGAGAGAGAGAGAGAGAGAGAGAGAGACGAAAATGAAAATTGACGGGAACAATGGACTATTTAATTAAAATCGATTTTCACAGTGATTTAACTATTTGATCGAAGAAATAGCTCCATTTTGGCTACAACTTCAAATGGCTTTCAATCAAATTATAGTTTTAAATGATCTCCTCCTGTGCACAAGTGATATTTTCAAATGACCATAATTGTGTGTGTTTGTATATCTACAACTTTTCAATAGGCCTCTTTGATTCGATTCAAAAATGATAATAATGAGTATGTGTTTGTGTGTGTATGTGTGTGAGTATGAGTAGGAGAGAGAAATAAAGCAAATGCTTATGTTTTGTTTGAATATAAAAGCGGAATGTCCGTCATCGTCATTGGTACTGGTGGTGGTGCTGCCATTGCTGCAGTAGACAGAAAATCTATTGAATATTTTCAATTTCTTGCCTAGTATTATGCATATAAACAGGGAAGTCCGCCAACAACAACAATAACAAAATTATCATCACCAATCGACACACAAACACTCTGATTGGAAACATTTTCATTTCGTCTTTCTCTATTTTGTAACTTGCTTTGTGCTGGCGTGTTGGCTGTTGTTGCCAGTCTTCTGTGCTCTATGATACAAATACACATGATGCATAGCAGCCAAAACATATATATCAACTGTGGATGTGCGCGCACTCACTCACTCAATCAAATTGCCAGCGACTTGGTGCCAACAAAATAATAATAATAATAATCATAATCATAATAATAGATGTACACAGAGCGCGTTTCGATTATATGCTTTGTTACATGAACTGGTTGGCTTGTTATACGGACCGACAGAGTTTACACATCCATATATATATATACTATCGTTTTGAGCTTCGATTCATTCACATCTTCTATTCATCTACACATAAATGGTGTTCTATATGAACATATGTATGAATTTATCTAATATATATATTATGTTTATAAATTCTCTCTAGAGTGCTGATTGTATGCGTGTGTTTGTTGTTTTTTTTTTCTTTTTTGGTTTCGTTTGCTGGCTATCGGATTATCTTAAATCTAACCAATAAAAGGATTCGACTTACCTATATTCTTATGGCGTTGGCGATAAACGTGATGTTTAAATTCTGATTCTTGGCGGAATGGGTTTCCTTTGCTGCTGCTGTTGTTGTTGTTGTTGTTATTATTTTCATTCGTTTATAAGGGCAAACAAATATGCTCTTTTTCTTTTCGATTATTGTATTAAGTAATGAGATGAGTTTGAATGTGAGAATGTGTTCACGCACCTAACGGAGCAAAAAATTAAAAGTCACAAATGAATGTCAAAACCGTACTGCACTTGGTTTTCTCTCTGTTTGATTCTGTATGGCCTTTTAATTTTCATTATTGTGTGGAATATAACTGTATTTGTGGGTTTCTTTAATCCTAGAACATAATTACTGTTAGCAAGATTAAAATGAAATTCATTGATTTCATCAGCTTTTTCTACTTAATTCACTAATCCACTAACAAACAATTTCTCTGCCTTCGATTTCAAAACATTTTTTTTTTCTCTCATCTTCTTCTTCTTTTCTTGTTATTTATTTGTAAAATCTTCGTTTTCTTTCACTGCGTTTTTATTTCTCACTCTCTTGCCCAAGCGCGCGTGTATGTCTATTTTATAATCGTATATTTTTACGCACGGTCTCTTCTATGTCTACTACATAGATTTTTATTTAATACTCTCGTTTAACTGGCTCTACATTATCGTATTCAGCTTGTTTTTGTTCTATATTTTTCATCCTGCTTTTGCTGCTTATTATTTTTTCTCACGTCTTCTCTACTTTTTTTCTTTCATTCTCGTGAATTTCATTTACACTCAAACGAATGAAGAACGAACGAGAAAAAAAACAACAACAATTTGTCTGTGTTGATTTCGTTGTTGGTGATGATGATAATGTTTAGCTTCTGCTATTTTACCGTATATCAAAATATGATTTTGTTTCGACGCACTATAAACATTTTTTTTTCTCTTCGGGTCTCTTTATTTCTGTGTGATCATCACAGCTTCGCAGTGATTTTTTTCTGTTGTATGTATCATTACACTTATATATATAGATATATGTACTGCACTCGGTCTATACCACTGAATTTTGAATGGAAACTACAAATACAAATGCAGCGTGACGAGAGAGAAATAAAAAAAAGCTAGTCAACTTGAAGACACTGAGAATGAATGCAATCAAATCAGGCTAAAATGAAATTCAGAGATACTATTAGAGCCAACTTGAACCACGGTCGAATTGAAAATGAAAAAAAAATTGCAATCGAATTGAATTTGTTCACAAATAAACTATGATGGATTCGATGTTGTTTTCACTACAATCTCCTTTTTTTGGTGCGTTGAAAAATTGTTCGTTGCTATATTGTTGTTGTGAATTTTTTTTTCTTTTTATTTTTCATCTCCGTTCATTTTGAGCACTTTTGTTGAACTGTGTGCGCCAAGTTTAGTGAGGTGCTTGTAATACTCTATACAGCTACTTTTGCTGTTGCTGCTGCCTGTTACTGCTTATGTATGCTGTCCAACTACGTTCCAATACTCAATGTACGGGCTTGTGTGTATGCATATGTGTATTGGTCATTCATTATGCGCACGCCCTCTATCTCTATCAATGTGTGTTGTTATTCTCTTTACCGTGCATTTTACTCTCTTTGTTTTATTTTTTTGTATCGAACACTCACCGTTTGCATGTCATGCATGTGTGTGTGTGTTCGTGCCATATACTTCTGATACGAAACGAGTGCGAGAGAGCGAATGAGAGACTGAACGCACTGACAGCGACCATCACCTGTGTTGATGTTCAAGTCAGTGGCAACCCCAAAAAAAACCTGATATCAATTTCAATTGTCAGAGAATTTCGCGCGTTTTTTTATTATTATTATCAATCGAAAAATTGTATTCCATTCAACGAATGTTATAAAATGCACAAAACAATTATCAAGAAGCAACGATGAATTAAATAAACAAATGTGAAAAATGGCTTACAAATACAAAATCAATTTTTTTTTGATGAAAAATCTAACCGCCCACACAAAAAAAAAATCAAAATACCACAAAGAGCGACATAAAACTTTTTATTTTACTACACTTACTACTGATGATGTGTGTGACACATTCACATACATACGCGACTGCGTCAATGGCATTCACCACTCACTGATATACATATGTATTGTTTACGTTGGGATGTACGAATAAAAAAAATGTTTGAAAACGGTTCGTTAATACATACTAAACGCACATTGTATTATTTTTTTTGTTGTTGGTTCTTACAATTTGCACAATATTTTTTGTTTGCACAAGCAAACCATTGATTTTTATAATAATAATCAAGTTTTTACTGCAAACTGTTTTTTTCTCTTCTTTTTAAATTGAAATGAAAGCAAACTTTTTAAATGGATTTTATACTTGCAGAACAATGTTCATTGCGTTAAAGAATTTATGATTGAAAATTCCATAACATCAATGGACTGTGTGCTGAAGTAAAACTTCTCCATTTCTGTCAACGAATATGCTTTTGTGCAAGTGTATTTGTGCAAATGCGATGTTGGCGCTACACATTGGCCGGAGTTGAAATGAACGTGAAAAATCGATTTCAAATATGCAACTTACTTCATCCCGAATGAATGAATGTTTGAATCGTGCCGAAGTTGATGCGCGCAATATTTGAATATTTGAAATGGAAAAACCGCTTAAAATGAGTTTAAAAGAATCAAATAAAATCAAATAAAATTCGAAACACGTTTTTCTGATCATTTTTAAATACTATGTATTTTTCCGTTTAAATCACATCATTTAGCTCAATTACCTAATAATTTGGTTGTTCATCAATAGATTGACTTAACACTAACATAATTTTAGCCTAATCAAAATGTATCTGATTTTCACCGTCTTCGTCATTGTTACTTTGGTAACCTGTTCCACGCTCATTACCTTTTCATCATGGTTGGATGTGTGTGTGTTTGTATGAATAATTTCGATACGATAAAATCGTAACATTTTCTAAATTTCAGCTTATAACTAAATACAATTCAATAAATTAAATAAATAGTAGATTTTATAAATAAATTTGTCTATTTGTTTGTTTGTTTTTAAGTTATTAGATGTACATTTACAATTGTTATTGAATTTATATTTTTAAACATATATTAAATTCCATCGGCTTTGAACTGTTTATTAATTCACTATGTGCCAATGTTTCGTAGTTTGAATATAGTTCGATTGCGGTAGTGTGCAAATATTACCCCATCATGAATGGTGTATGGGTGTGTGAAATTTTATTAATTTTTTTGTTTTGTTTATTTGCTTCGCAAAATCCGCTTTTATTTTAAACACAAACATTCAACAAAATGTTCATACATTTCTTTTTCATATATCTAGAATTTGATTGTAACATTTTATTTTAAAAATAACAAGATTCTTGCATGGATAAGATTTATGTGTGTTTCGGTATGTTGTTGTTGTCGTATCAATTTATATATATAGATATCGGAAATATGCATTCACAATCGATTATGTTTAGATATGAAAATGAATGTTGTGTTGTGTTTCATTTTTGTTGTTGCTGTTTAAATCATTTATCATGCAATGACTTTGTGAAATACATGTACGAGTTGAAGAGATTTATGTATATATAGTTACATTTAGGCAGTATCATTAAATCAACTATTTGACTTGTATATGACTAATCCATAGATTTCATTTCACGATTGGAATTTGATGAGAGTTTCGCGAAAATGATTTCGATTTAAAATGGTCGTTAGGAAGAAAAAATATGTAAAGTCTGTCTCGTGTTGATGTATGATTTTTAATGACAATTTTTCGATTTCGTTTGGGCGCAGTGAACTGAAAAAAAAACGGTCGATCAGCGTTAGATATTTATCGTATTTGGAAATTTAAAAAAACGATGAATACTTTTCTAATTCTTTTGCAATTATTTCGACATTTTCACCGAGTTATCCATCTATTTTGGGAATGATTTGGGATATGACAGGAAAATGTCAACAAATCAAACATTCTATGTTTCCCTCCCAAAATAATCAAACCACTTTAAACGATGCGGTTAAAGTGAGTTCAAATGATTCCGTTGCAATAATAATAAAACAAATGACTGAATGCATTGCGAAATATTGTAACGATAAAACAAAAACATAGCGTGCATTCTTAATCGAAACTCATTTGAAAATGGCGTCATAAACAATTGACTAATGTATCAATAAAATGAAATATGATACGGGAATGGCAGAGCGTTAATTCACTGGGGACGGCATAAATGTGAATTTTATTTGCATTTTCATTAGATCCATCGAGAATCCACAGCATGTGCATGAGTTGAAATGAGTATTATTTCAAAATTCGAAATGCAGATGATATTTCTCTCTCTCTCTCTTTGAGAGATTGAGTATGCAATGCGGTCGCATTACCGTATACGTCAACAATGAATGGATTTCAACTTACCGGTGTAGAGTAAACATAAAACAGTTTGACATTTTGGCAAAAACATTGGCATTAAGAGACTTGTTCTGGGTATATTAACATTGTTTTTGATTTGGATGCAAATTTTTACTGCATCAAACACAATTACCCACATTGCCATACCTCACGGTTATACGGACAGACACAGGCACCACATTTATGCGACTATAAATAATGGAATCTCGTATCAATCCATCGGAAACTATTCATATCGTCGACGAAGCATAAAATCAGTTGGATGTGCATAATTAGAGAAAACTGTTTGCAGGGAATAAAAGAAAATCTGTGCCACAGTAAGCCCGGGAACTTTGAACATTTGTATACAAATCCACACTACATTCAACTAACCGCGTTTTGTGTGTTTGCACAGTGCACAATTGCACATACATCATGTGAATATTGCGTATGTGTGTGTGGAATTGCTTCTATGTGTAATGAGCGATACCAAAGAATGGATGGAAAGATAACGAATGCAAATGCACCTGGTGCGAGTGAAACAGTAAAAGTTGTTGTTGATTTTAAAAAAAGAAATGATGTCCAGTGTTTGGTGAACGGAATAAATAGCAATTGAAGCGCGTTTCAACAAAATATGGTCACAAAAGCCATAAATATACAATAAACAGAAATTCGACGCAATGAATTCGCCATTCTCCCATATGAATAGAAAGTGTTGAAAGACTTGAAAAGGAATAAGCAAAAGCACATTCACATGTTACATGCCGCAGGACTCTATTGTCCAAATTCACATGCACACAAATCATCATTTCTCCGAAACACGAAATGTCGTTCCACTTGGTGAATTGTCATGTGTATATCTCCTTCGTTCGCAATCAATGCACACAGAACGATGAAGAGAGAGAGAGAAATTAGAAAGATTGCGTCGCATTGCACGCATTTGGTGATTGTGGTGACATATTTACCATACAAAAGAGCTGAATTCACTTTCAATTCGTCTTTTGAATGAAAATTCTCATATTGATTTGGCATTTGTATTTGGCGTGAAAATGATGAATCGCTGTACTCCGTAGAATGTGTTAAAAGAGGCAAGAGAAGAAGAAAAAACTTTTGCCACAACGAACGTTTTCGTCTCATAAATTCGTTTGAAGTTTGATTTATTGGATTTATTCACGGTCAAAAAACACATTTTTTTTCCTCTTTCAGGCCAATTTGAAGGAACTGAACTAAAAAGTTTCGTTTTTACATATGTATATAAACTTTTTTTATGTATAATTTGCAATTCGGATGAATATGACGATCGTGAGCAAAAGTATCACACCAAATGACGACGTGAGAAAGTTTTATGCATAATTGGGTGCGAAACGAAAATGTGCACTGGTTAAATTCTCAGTTTGTGGATGCATCAAAAGTTGAAAAAGAATCAAAAACTAAGAAGAAACAGGCCGCCAAAGCACGAAGCAAAAAGTATTGACACATCGCATGCCGAAAACGAATAAATTTCTTTAATAAATTAATGAACTTATTTTTTTTCTTTTTCAGCTGTGTGTTGCTTGTGCTCGAATAAAAGACCCAATTTTTTCGTCAGCAAACTATAATTGTGGCCAGATTTTTTGTTTTCAAGAATTGCGTCTCTCTCTCTGCTGTGCACATATGTTTCCTGATTTATTATTATTATTACTTTAGTAGCTCATTAACTTGACTTGTTTATTTTCATCGCACCACTTTCCCATGTTGTGCCAATATATATTTTGTGGGCGATAATCCATTAAGATTGTGTTGTGAATGCGCGTTCATTATAAAGAAATCATTTCGTTTGGGCTAAAAGTCCATTGCAAAGAAAATAATTATGGACAATTAAGACGCCTGAGAAAAGAAACGACTTGTGAATTTCTTTTGAATGAACCACAGTGCGAACAAAAATTAAATGAGAAAATTAAATAAATATTCCGAAATGACTGCTGACCATGCATTACAAACTCTTATCGATGTTATCAATCACCTCAATTATATTGTCGCATGGAAATGTTCAATTAATTCTACCCTTTTGTTAGTGTCCGATAAATTACCTTTCAAGATCCATATGGACTTGTGCATGAAGTGTTGCCACAAAAGAATTTTCTACATTTCTTATCTGTGCTTCGTGTCTCATTCACAACCACTTCAAATGAACCGAATTAGTGGTTAATGAATAACACATTGATTGAAAACCTCAACGCACCAAAATTACTTGATTACAGTTATCGAACAATGGTAAACGGATGGTTCAACTAATAGCTTCATTCCATTTCGCAATATAGACAATTCCAAACACGATTTATGACCATTTTCAAATAACACAACGTGTGTTTTGTATGAAACATAAAACAAAAGAGCTTAGAAAACAATTTGTGATATTGTGTATCAATGCATTTAAAATGCATGGCAGTAATTTGCATTTGTGGCTTTTAATTCTAATCCAGGATGTTAATTTATGCATGCATGCAAATGTACAAATACCAAATCGAAAACAAATTTAATTGCAATAGAAAAATGGAGGCAAAATTGGACAAAATCATTGAATTTCATGAAATACGATACAAATACAGGTCTAACTGAAATGCAACTGTTGATTATTGAATTAATTAGTTTCTATTCAAAGGAATAAAATCTCGTACCAAGGATGAATACACTCATATTTAAATTGAATCATCAGGTTAATTAGATTTAATAGATTATTTTCGGTTAAATTAAACAACAATAATAAAAAAAACTACTCTGTATACGATCGAATATTTACTCTTGACCGTTCATCGATTGATTTGCTGGGTGAAAGCGAACAAAAAATATGCACACAAATAGATTGAATTTATATTGGAAATTTTCCATTTTAAATGGCGATTTTCAGTTGCTGTGTATCATTAAAAATAGCAATTTCAGTCATTTTTGGCCATTTTTGGATTTGGTGCACGTTTGCAAACAATATTATGCATGTGTTTCATTATTTAATATGTATAAATTTCGTATAGTTTTTGCGCTATCGTTAAAAATTAACCACATCAACACCATACATTTTTTACAATCATCGTCGTCTGTTTTTTTTAATTTTTACTCTCTCTCTCTCTCTCTCTGATCTTCTACATTTTACACTCCGTTATAAATTCTGATTAAATTTATAATAAATGCTTTCATTTCAACAATGTTGGATTATTGTTGTATTTTACTATGTTTCGCAAAGGATAAGCCATGAGGGGTTAACCATATTATTAACGAATTTTGCTGGGCCTCATTTTTTCGTTCTCTTACATTTGTTAAAACATTTCATAATAAAACGGTGCTTTTGGATGTAAATTATACAATACGAATGGTCATAAGTCATAATAGTGTCAATTAATACATGTATTTGTAGTTTCGAATATTATTACATATTACTAGTGTGGATTTTTCTGTCTATATGTGTATTTTTTTAAAAATCTATTTTATTTTATTTGGATATTTATCAGTTGATTTTGTTCGTTTCGTTTTTTTAGTTGGGTTTATCAAATTTGACTATTTTGTTCAATATTTGTTTAAAGATAGCGTGAATTAATTACATTGGTATGCAGATGTATCTATATGAGTTGTTCGTTAGTATGTATGTCAGTGTGTGTTTGTGTTTTTGTCACTTAAATTTGTTAATGATATATTTTCATGCTCTCCGTTCGTTCGTTCCCGAAACATATTTGGATTCGTAATCGCCTTTTATTTTAAATAATAATAAAATACATAAATCAATTGGTTTTTCGTGTATGCTTTTTTCACCCCCCTCCCCTCCTGTCTCTCTCTGTCTCTTTTTTTCTCCGTTTATTTGTTGTCGATTTGTTCGGTAAATTGTCCTAATTCATATTCGTGTTGTGTAGGCCGCAACGATGATCAGAATGCCGTATTAAATTCGTAAATGCTATTTCCGTGCGGTCGTTGGTTAGTTGTATGCTATCAAACTCGCATTTCATTCATGGCAGCTTGAGGTATTGGTTGTTTTTGGTGGTGGTGCTGTTGCTGTTGTTGTTGTTGTTGTTGTGGATGTTGCTTGTGATGAGCATTTGTTTGTGTAAGTACGAATTTCACATTTGGCGATTCATTGGACAAATTATTGGTGGCACTATTTAGTTGGCTGCACATTGAAACCAGAGCGCTTTGATCGTGTTGCGTTGACAATACCGAGCATGGTACGGTGCCTGCTATTGATACGGTTGTAGTGGTTGTTGTCGAGCGAATCGGTGGTCGGGGCGGTATTTTATTTGAATTACTAGATGATGCATTGCATCCACTGTCGATTAGCGTGGCATTACCATTTGGCAAATGCTGTTGGGCCGGATGGTACAATTTACTTTGTTTAGCCTCTAAAAACAAATTGAAAAATTGTCTAAATAATTTTGGTTAATCGATACTGTAAAACGATAACACAAAGATTCAAAAATGAAAAAAAAAAAGACAAATAACATTTAGCTCGAGAGAAAAAAAGCGATCAAACAATATAATCAATTTATGTATACATGTATATTGATTGCCAAAAATCGAAAGAATTGCGAAAGGGCGAAGGGAATTGATGTATGTAACAGATAATATCGACCGAAATAACAAACAAAAAAAATCTCATAAAATTTGAACAAAAATTAATCATGTTTTGTTCATTTTACGATGCGATAATAAATTTACGACTTTTCCCCAGCTTCGAATCAATTTATATATCTACGTGCTTTGGGAGTTTATTGAATTAAAACATTGCCGTTGCCATTGCTGTGACGTTGTGCGCGCAAGTATTTTATGCGTTTAGAAAACTGGTTCGGTCGATAAAATTAGGAAAAATTCCCAACGGAAATCATAACACATTTCTCTGCACTGTATTACTGTAGACGAAGCACATTTCCGACTGAAACTGGCATCAATTCATGTATGCAATTTCATCCAAAACGTTTCCATTTGCACGTCATACAAAATTTTAATGCCAACGCTATAATAAACCACACTTACACATTGACATTCATATGCAGATTTACAATGTTCGATTGCTGAATTGTTCAATACAACCAACATCAAATGAAATTAATAAATCGAACGATTTTAATTTATTTCGATCGTGAATGCATGGGCTTTTCAATCTCGCTAATCATATCAAATGCCAGGAAGGCGTATCACACACACACTTACATCTATATATACAAACATGTTGTCAGTCAGTTGTGCAAATATTGATTTAGCGATGCGTTGCACAATTTCAATTATAGATAATGATGAATGCACATTACAAAACAGCCTAATGTGTTTGCAACGATTTGGCCGTCCATAAAATGGTACACAAACAAATTGAGATGCAACTACCAATCGAAATGGCTTAGCCAAAACAATTACCGCAGTCTCATAGAAAACAATTGCGCGAGAAAATGTTGATTATAAAACACACAAATGCACATTTTGCATCATTAATTTTATTATTTAAACCGAAAATCAGTTTGGCTCAAATTGCATTGACAACAAGTGTATATGCATATTAATTTCATCGTGTATTTTGGCGATTGCATCAGAAGTGCATCAAATGTCAAATTTACAATTAAAACTCGGTAGATAACTCAATATCGACTTTTAGAAAGCGGTAACAAAATTTGAACACTTTAAACAATTGGAGTGTCACACAAATCACAATTGAATGCGAAAAGCAAATAATTTTATTGCTGCAAGACATAATTTTGTTTATGGGCCAAATCTTCCCATTTTTTTTCTAAATCAATAAATATTCAAGCACAGGACTATAATTCATTCATTTACTCCTGTGAAAAACAGTCTCTGGTTTATGTAAAAAACACTTTTTATGAAGCCAAATTCAATATCGATTACAAATTCCTTTTTTTGACATACACAGAAGTGCGTATTTTGTATCTGTCAACCGCACAAAAAATGGATTTGTTATCGCTGGTATCAAAAATTAACTAAAATTCCTCACTCGGAGCGTGAATGTAAATATTTAATCCTGTTTTGAAATAATATTCCCTCGGCCAAATCACCTGCAGCTGATATAATCCACAATCAATCAGAATAATAAAAAGTGAGAGAAATATTTCCAATTTAAAATGCAATGGAAATTTACGCTTCGCCTGAATTACGTGAGACGAGAAAATTATAATATAAAAACCAGTGAAATCATTTTTTGTTTGTGGTGGCGACAGAAACAGCAACGGTGGCGGTTTTGGATGATAATAATATTGAAAATATTTCGCACATGCATACCAACAATTTTATTTATCAACAAAATGTATAATTTATAATAAACTAAATACCCGCGGCAATATAAATATGTGCAGAAGATAACAAATAGAGTGAGAGCGAGAAAAAAAGGTTTAATCCACTTCTGTTTTATGTGAATTTTCGATTTACTGGAAAATTACACAAAATTGACCAAAACTGCTTCGAAACAATTCACAAAAACAAAACGAACACGAACAAACTGAACATAAAAAAATCATTCGTTTAAATTCGAGCGTATGTCGTTCATGTCCGATGGCGAGAAAAAAGAATACGCGCAATGTTACATTGGCAACAACAGTAAAAGGGTTGATCCAGGTCAATCTCGAATGCCTATTAATTTTAATTGATTGTGATTGGTACACGATTTAAATTTGTACCCGAATTGTTCGTTGCCGTAATATGGTGCATGGAATTTCGTTCAAACTCAATGATTCACATTCGATATATACATACATACATATATCGAATATGTGCATATTTTTGCGCCAACAGAAGTGATATTGCTTGTAATAGGCTCTCTAAAATTGTGCACGATACAACTATAATGGACGCCGCAAAAAGTACGATATACACACACGCGCGCGCTCTATATGTATAGTCTTTCAGTCGCTTGCCTCTTAATTGGTGCGTAATCGTTTCTGCAGTGAATGACAGATTTTAAGCATCATGTTTTTCTGTTTGTTTAAATTTAACAATGAATGCTTATTCACTTGGGATAGCGAAAATGCACCTCCGAAAATTGCATACACACACACACGCAAACGAGCATGAGTACGTTTTGTGCCAGTGCCAAAACAACTGAAAGCCAAAATTGGTTGTTCGTCATGAATAATTTCATTATATCGAGGGGCGGTCCACTTTCGCGGTAATATTATAGTAAAATAAATAAATTCGATGACCATGCTAGCGCTTATGCAAAAAAGTTAATCCAATATATAAGCAAAAATTGGAGAACATGGTATAAAACGCAAATTTTACTTATTTGAAAAAAGAAAAAAAAATACTACATGTGTAGTATCGAATACAATTTGATGAAATTGTAAAAAGCAACCGAATTTATTGCGACAAAAAACAGGTTAGACATTGGACGTGTCCAATTTAATCACAAATACAAATCGATACCGATTCGCTTATATTGCGTGAAGAGGCAGATTTTTTTTGTTCGTTGCTGGTCAATGCATTAAAATTTATGATTGAAATCAATGCAATTGAATTGAAAATCAGTTTTGCGTGTGATATGTTGCTCTGGCAGTAGTCATTTTTATTTTTATTTTCATCAATGTTCCGGCAAAAAGTAATAATTGATATCGAAACCAATGCTTGGTTGTTGTTCTCTTTCGTCACAACCCCCTCAACTAATGTGATTAGCCTTAGACGAATACATGGGATATTTCTATATTTTTTTATGGCTGGTTACTTTTTTCTATTGAATATCATGTGGAAAATGAAAATCGTTGATGTGTCAGTCATTTTTGAGTCGTTTACTCGGAAACAGGGTGTGTATATTGAACATTGCATCCGACAGAATATCGTTTCCCAAAGCAAAGCAAATGTCGTTCGCCATTGATTTATCACCACTATTCAATGTGATACATTCACTTTAAACAAGAATTTTCACAGTTCGCCCTACATCACCATCATGAATCTCAATCATCATAAATGGCATTTTTGTAAAACGTGTCCTGTACATAACACGTGCCTATGTCGATTGCGAATTCGTAATATGAACGGAAAAATTGCAATCAATGTTTGAATGAGAAAATGCCATTTAGAACTGATGAATGTCCAATGTGAGTTAGATAGAAAACTTGAGAGTATGCAGTCCACCATCGTTATTACCATTTTCAAGCGAACGACGTGAATCAACCGACATAACACGGAATTTTCATCGTTCAATGTGCGATTTGAGTGTGTATGTATGTGTGTGTGTGTGTGTGTGTGTGTGTGTGTGTGTGTGTGTGTGTGAACGTGGTCAAGCACAAGCATGTCGGCAACAATGCCCGATTGTCGAATGATAGGTACGGTCACAAAAACAATTTATGTTATAGACATCCATGCCAGATCTACGTGGAATATGCGAATTGCAACGACGATGACGATCAACAAAAAGCGATTGGGTCATTGGAGTTGTTGCGTTGGTGCCTTTTTTTCTGTCATTCGCTTCGTTTCATTATGAACAATTTCGTTTCCGGAACAAAATACGCTACACGCGTACATACAACTTGTCATTGTTCATTCGGTGTGCAATGCGTTGCAAAAGCAGCAACAGCAAAAAAAGCCACCGCCTCTTCTATGGTCTCATGTCATGTACTACATACTGTATTTATATTTATTTTTTTTCTCATTGCGGCGCTTGGATCTGTCTGCCATCGTGAATTATGTGCATAAATATGTACGTTGTAATGCGAGTGTATGGATTCAACACCAATGTCGTGTGTGCGTGTTTTTTGTATGAAAAAAGTTGCTGGCAGCACCAATATGAATGTCAATTGCAGAAAGCGCAAGAGGTGAGACCATACACCGTAAATGTGATGGGTCTATGCATACATTGAACAATGATGCACACTCATCCTCTCCACCCATATCTTGTTCACTCTTTTGGGCTGTCGCTACATCTCTCTTTTTTTTTGCAAATGTTGAACAATTTTTAATTAAAATACATTGCTAGTTTTAGTTTTTAAATAGAATTTGATTCGTGTATTATCCTCGTGTTCATGTTGTTGTTGCTGGTTGTGTGTTCCGCTCAATGTTTCTTTTTTTCTATTTCTCGTTCATCCGTTTTTCATGCTCCATTTTCATTTGAGCGAGCGGAGAGAAAGAGAGACAGCAAAAAAAATCTGAAACGTGAACCAAACCGGGAGATGAGATTATCCCGACAAAATTGGCGGACGAAAGTGAAGGAATGCGTTTGAATAGAGTGCCGACGAAAAATGTTTGGGAGGCGGAGGATAGTGTAATGGAAAAACTTTGTGCATTTTAAAATGCATTTAGTCGAAATATAAACGATGAAACGTAAGAATGAAACAACGAAGTGCCTTACAGCCCGTTTCAAAAATGCACAAAATTACCCAATGACTACAATGGCATGCGTATGGAAATGAATGGCAATTATGTTTTGCCTTCAACTATATATATTTTTATTTGTTTCGTTTTTTCTTTGCTTTCCGAAACCAGACGGCATACTATGCAGTATGCAGACTGTTGATTTTACTAAATCGGTTCTGTAGCAATAATCTCAATGAAATAATTGCACAAGAATCTAAAGTAAATTGTTTGTTAACGTATTGTAAAAGGCATTTGGTTGAATGGTATTAATACAGCTCCCATTGAACACAACGAAAATGGGAGCAGTGACTTTTCGAAATGAAAATTAAGCATTTTAACTGTAACATATGTTAGGAGAAACGAGAATTTATTTATAATTACCTAAATTACTGCTGACATTTGTTTGTGAACTCATGTTTCGTGGAAGTGTTGCAGTGTCTCTTGGACCATAGCTAATAGACGATAAATGTTGTTGCTGTTGCTGTTGATGATGTTGCTGTTGCATGAGGCTACTATTTAAGCCTCCTTTCGGCAAGGTCATCATACCAATGCTATTGTATGAAGTCGAAGTATTTCGATTGAATTGTTGTTGTTGTGTCGATTGTTGTTTGATTGGAATCGTTTGAACCACGTGCTCGCCAACTCCTTGACCACGATGGTTGCTTTTTGTATTGTATGATGTTGTTGTGGTTTCACTTAACGGTACTTTTGTTTGACAAACATTATCACCGGTGGCGTTGGTTGTTGTACCACTCGTCGATATTTGCATGGCATTCGAACAGATGTGCGGTGACTTGATGTCACTACTTGTCAATAATAGTGTGCCACCGCTATTGTCATGATGATGATTTTCTACGTCAACAATTACATTGGCGCTTTGCGAATGATTCATGTGGTAATGAGCATGTTTGATTGGATCGAATGGCGGTTGTTGATGCAGAATGCCACTACGTTGTTGATATTGTTTTTGTAAGCTTTTCACCTCAAGTCTCGTTTTATCCTATATAAAACATACCAAATATTGAGCACAAACAAATACAAATTCGAACAAAAACGAAGAAAGAGATTTGTTTTTCATTTACCCGTTGATAATATACACCGGCAAATATTAACACATTCAAGATTAAAAGACTGCAACCAATTGCAATGGTGACACTCAATGCTGTACTGTATGCAGCATAGCCGGCAGCTGAATCGAAACCGGCCAAAGTGTCGGCCGACGTTGTAACGTTAGTCACGCTCGTTGGTGCTAATGCACTGTAATTGCCCAGTGGAATACAAGTGGTGAGCAGTGATGGTTCTACCGTTGTCATTCCTGATGGTTTATTTTTAGGTTGGTTTTTTTTTTCACAGCAAATTTGGTTTTGTTGTTTTATTTCAGTTTTGTTGCAATTCATTTTTCACCATTTTTTTTATGTGGTGTGAAATAGTGTCATTTGTAACGCCCCAGCAACCAGGAACACACATATCACGACAGAAAAAAGTGAGAATGAAAAATAGAGAAAAAGAAAAATGTTAGTGCCATATTTCATGGGGAAAATAAAAAAAATGTTTTTTTAAAAATTGTACAAAATGTCACTTGTTCATGACACATGAACTCTCACATTCTATTTTAAGCTTCAATAGAAAAGAACATGCTTGAATCTGAACTAAAAAAAAGGAGTTTTTACAATTGGCTACCTGACAACAATTGTTATACATTCAATTCGAACTATGAGTGTATAAATTGTGTATGCGAAAGAGAGTAATCGAGCGCGAGAAAAAAACCAGCCCAGAGAATAGGAAAATAAAGTTAATTTTAATTCCCGTTTAACGATAGCATCTGTGTCTACAATTTATCGTGGTCGTCGTCGTCTTTTTCATCCAAAGCCTCATAACATAGATGCTCTCATGTAAAAGCATGTATATTTAGTTGGTCTTTTTTGATGATGATCAAGCTTTTACAACGTTGCATCGGAGAATTGTTAAGCCAATGATTACAGTGCCACTCATTTTAACCCCAGCTCAAGCATGTAATATAAAAGTTCACCGCCTTTGTTTAGACAAACCAAATCACATGCGATAAAAATGTTGCAAAAGTTTAAATAAATTTGTAGAAAAACGATGAAGTAAGAGAAGAGAGAAAGATCAAAATGAACAAAACGTATTCATCAACGGAAAAATCCGTCGGAAATTTTTACGCAAACAGAAAAGTTTCTGACAAAAAGAATCTGATTTGATATATTTATTCATCTCGTGATTAACTTATAAACGGAAATATGCTTAACATTAGTTGTCAAAAAAAAATGTTTGTGTATTATGTGTGTGTTGAGTGCCACAACTATACAATTACAAGCTTTTGTTTTTGCCTCATGCTTCTCTCATCAAACAAAACTTTAATTTTTTGTGCATTTAGTTTTTGCATTCGCTGGCTGATGTGGTATGGTAATTTACTGTGTTTCCGCTGTGGTTTTTTTGTTCAAAACTTTTCAATGCTTTAATTACAATGGAGTTCGAGTTCGCCAAACAAAAACCTCCTCAAAGCTAAACTTGTACAAGAATTCGGATGTGGTTTTTGTGTGTAATGTGTGTTTTTTTATCTCATCTCTGTTTGGTTTTGTGAGCGTTTTTTTTAAACGATTGGTAGCATTAGAACATTTGAAATGACCAGGAATTGTGTATGTGTTTGCGTATGTGCATTTTCGTGTGTTAACGGTCGTGTAGAAAACTCTAACGACATAACGACGAACTAAAAGCTCAAAAAATGGTGTACACTCTCCGGATATGTGGTTTACAATCAACGAACTTCTATGCAATGTACGCAGTTATAGTGAATTGTAAATCCGCACAAAAGAGCACATTGTATGACTCGCCATTGTTTGATAGCCAAGCTGACAAAAATAGGAAGCGATTTCGGTTTTTCGGCGACGCCAGGGGACAGACAAAATGCTCAATACTGGAAATTGTGTGTATTAAGTGAAAAATGAAGCGGCTTTCTATCTGTCTCATACACACATTCACTTGGGTCATCAGACTGGTAAGCTCTGCAAATGATATCCCTCTCTCACTCTCCATGTCCTTCTTCGCACTCTATGTTATGCACATATTCACTAAATGCGATCTCGTACAAGAGTTTTCGCTATAATGTTCGTTCGGTAATGTTTTCCTCATTGTAATCGGTTGTTGTTAAACTTGAATTATATAACACATCATTATTATGGAAATTATGCTCTGGTTTGGACAACATATCGTACATTGTACCACACTGTGTACGTGCATTCACATAACAAGGCACATTTTCGTTGGAGTCAGAACCGAGTCGGGTTCTCGTTCAAACTAAATTCCATTACAATTTCAGTCAACGACAAAATAAAATTTTACATCGGCTCGATCAGCATTCGAACGTCGACGACCGTAACGAAGCCATTCTCATTAGATGTTGATGAAAGCCGGATATGATGAAAATAATAAAATATATCTGCACTAACGAAATTTCAAAACGTTTTTCCACTGCAATTCAATTTGCATACAAGTATTTTGTTGTGATTATTATGTGTAGTGCATATCGTCAGATTTTCACTAACAAATGCGATATATTTATGTACTAAATTCATTAAATGAGTATTAGAAATGAATGCCAAGAATGTGATTTGAACAAGTGAGAATGTCATCCTCATTTTCATGTGAAAGAAATACTTTTGTTACGTTAAAAGTTAAACTGTATCATTCCATATCTAAGTACGATGTTTGAGAAACAACAGCTGAAGAGCAGAGATACATTCAATTCATTTCAAGTGTTGTATTCAATTTAGATGACAACTTTTTGAAATCAACACTAGAAATGTTGCTGTGCAACGCAGTTTGGACGCACGTATTCAACCAGCCACATAATTACAAAAGCCGGTGCTGATGATAGCTCGATTGCATCATATATACATTGCAAAACAACATAGACAGACGAGATCACATTCACATTCTGGCATATTTTTTTGGTTCTTCTTCTTGTTGTTGTTGTTTGTTCGTTGACAACGACGATGAAAACTAAATGTTATAATCAAATTTGTTGGCCAGGCACGGTGCATAAACATAATACACTTTGTTTGTGTTTTTGAAACTTGATTTTATCATAACTTTTTTTAGTGTTTGTTATTTTCTATTTGTTTGTATTTCGCTTGTTTTGACAATAAACCACCGACCGGTGCCTTGACTTAAAGAGGCGACCAAACAAATGGATTATTTCAGTACTAAAGCGTAAACTATACCAAATTTGTGGTCATACCTTATGCAGTGCACGTATTCAACCACGAATGTATGCTACCACAAACACACACACACACACACCCACATTCAGAAAACGACAATGAACGAAGGAAAAACCATAGCCGGACAAAATGTAAAATGTGCTAAAAACAGCGCAACGCAAACCGGAACTATCATTTCACATTAGTTTTACAATATTTTTTCTCTCTTCTTACATATCGTGCATAGTTGGCTTACATCGTTTACAATTTTCGTTGTTGTTTTTTACGAAACGAGCGAGTGAAGGTGATTGTCGTCGTCATCGTTGTCGTGATGCTCTTGTTGTTGTTTCGAAACAATAATAAAGAAAGCTAAAACGGAAAACGATGCGAAATAAAAGGAAATAAAAACGAAGAGGAAGAGAAGAAAAAGATGGCAGACAGAATGCTCGTTCATTGCACAAAGATATTATACCGAAAACTTTGCTACACGTACATGGACATTCCAAAAATAATGATGATCATAATAACAATAACAATATCCAGTAAATTCGACTGCGGATACTGTGAAGTTAAACTTTTCCAAATATTTATGGCATACAAGACTTCTTCGTCGTCAACGACGCTATTTATATTTCAATCTTTTTTTCTGTGTAAATGGGGTCCGGTTTGCAAAAGAGAATTGGTAAAATAGATACAGAGAGAGTAGGAAAAGCAAATAGGATACACGGAAGAAGGAAGATAGATAAAGCAAATAAAGCTCGATATGTGAACCGTTTGTTGCGTTCGTTGCTTGTCCATGTTCGTATCGTTGTTTTACAACTTAGTCTATTGTCTATGTTTATGTTTAGTAAATATAACGCGTTCATCGCCAAATGGACACAACTAACGACCAAACATTGAAATCCTCTCTCAATTTCCTCATTCTCTCTCTCATTCTAACTGGTTTGCTTTGCTTTTGCCATTCAATCGAGTTGAAAAGAAATGTAACCTTTTTCTATGGGAATTTTTTTTGTAATATTATTCCATGTTATTTGGTTGTCGTGTGCCGACTGCCGAGTCTGCTGCTTGTTTAACTCATCGTTAATATTATTATTGTTGTTGTCTGTTAGTTTTCTTGAATTTTTAGGTGCGCTCATTTTTTACATGACAAAAACATGGATATATTTATATTGCAACTAGTTGTATGAATCGTAACGTGTTTAGAATGCAAGTGAGTGAGATCGAAGAAATAAAGACGGATAATCAAGTGAAATCAAACAAAAGGCCTGTGTACAATGTGATTCGATATAAAATCAATAAGAGACAACCGATGACGACGACGACGAAGAACGACAAGAGAACTGGTATTAATTTGATAGAGATTCAGACTAGTTACAAGCTAACATAACACGAAAAGTTATTATTCGCACCCAAGTGACATTGTGATGAAGTTTGCGGCGTAAAAAATGTATAAAATCAATGGCAGGCTGCCGTACACTACACACTTACCATTAATATTTAATAGGCTATATTCGTTATTCGTGCCATTATTCCGTCGTTGCTTGAATGTCTCTTCTAGAAATGCTAAACGTGACAACGAATCTAATTTAACTGGACCATCGTATAAATCCATGTCATCGTGGTTTTTAAATAGATTATGCCTCGTGATAACGTCTTCCATGCCGGCTCGATGTAGTTCGGGTATTAAACGTAGCCAAATTGATAGTTGATGAGCGCGAAAATGATTTTTAATACGAGGTTTCATGCCTATCACACACAACGAGTTTTTTTTTTTCATTGGGATAAGTTTTCATTTCGCATGTGGTACACGTTCATTCATTTTCCAGAATATAAGTCACAGAAATAAGAGAATAAAAAGAATGAGGTGGAAAAAATAGAGAATATTGATCAAATGAATAATGTATGTTTCGTGATGGATTTGGATTGATTGTGAAGAAAAAAAAAAACGATTTTTTTACCGATTTCCAAATATTTTTGATGCAACGAATCATATTCATCCCAAACAACACTTCGAAAGCGATTGCGCTCTTTTGATGCTGGCAAAACGGGATCCTGCCGATGATGTTCATTCGGATTACCTGTATTATATTGACAATAATTTGTTTCATTAATTAATCGAATTATTTCTTGTTTAATGTCATTATTTTCGAAAGAATCACGAGATCTTTTTGTTTTAAATTCAAACCAAAACGTTACAATGTACACAAATAAAATCATCCACCATTCGTATACCTGTTCTGAGAAAATTACTCCAATAGGTCATGATTGCTTCAGAGAGACTGATTTCCGACTGAAAAATGTCAAATAATTCAATCAAAATTATTGATTTAAATCGAAAATTGTGTCATTTCCGGTGACAAACCTTCGTATAATTCTCTGGAAAATGTGAAAAACCTTGAACCAACGGGGCTCCAAATACGTATGGTAAATCCTCACCATGTACGGCTCCCATTCGTTGCGGGTAATCACCGTCTTTTGTTTGATAATCGAATACATAGAAAAAGCATTTTGGTCCGATTTTCTCTTGGCCCGGTTGAACGGCTGACGGTGCTAACATATCACCTGTACGAACAAGTGGCGCTACAAATTGAGCATCCGACAATGCAGCAACGGCTGCATCACGTGTATTTATTGGATGCTGTGACGTACGTTCCCAGTCTGTAAATCAAATTCAACAAAACAATTATTTATGTACACAAACTCTCTTGAACAATTTTTTTTTTTTCGAATTGAAATCGAAACTTCACTTACCCGTATATTCATTTACGATCTACACAATCCAATAGACGAGACATGAAAAAGTGTTATTAATATGATTCAATTCTATGTTAAAGAAAACATTTTCTAACTTACCGTATAGAAAATTTCACTCAGATGGTATGTATATGCGTTGCGTACATACGTTCGAAGAATTTTGTCTCGACGATCACCTTCGAAACCGTTTTGTATGTCAGACGCACTGAAACGCCATATGGCTTCGCCGGTTACAATTCCAAACATTAAATCATACCGATTACCCGATTCGGGTGAACGTTTTGAATTTCTCGTTATACTATCGTCAGGCTCTTGATTGTTCATTCCATTTCGAATAACAACACCATCAATCTAATAGCAAAATAAACAAATTATAATCTCTATTGTTATGTTAAGGCGAAAATGGATGTATAACGATACTATTACCGATGGACCGAATGCAGTGAGAAAGCTCGGCGCCTGAATATCAGTTGCATACAATTCATCCAATGGAATCTCACGTAAACAATCAACAATGTGTTCATGGTTTTTGATTAAGTCTTCGGGAATTGTACAGTTGACCTCTTTAGCCAATTTGAGTGCATAAATAACCGGGTCTTCGACTAGTGCCCATGAGGAAAATGCCGAGCCGGATAATAAAATGGCACGATGAAATAGGCCTGGTACCATTGTTGGTGATGTCATGAGAAAATGAATGCATGCCGCACCACTACCATGTCCAGCTAAACGAAAAAAAATGTGATTTTTGTTTTTGTTTTCAGTCAGAGTGAAGGGGAAAAAATGTGTGTCTGAGCTTCCACATAGATAGAATATTTACCTAATGTCACAGAATTTGGATCACCACCAAAACGATTAATATTTTGTTGAACCCAATGCAGTGCTGCCATTTGATCCATTAGGCCATAGTTCGCGACTCGTGCTCTTATTTGAGGACTTGGATTTGCATTGAGGAAACCTATGAAAAATGCATCGTGTAAATGTAATTGAAATGGTCGACAGATTTGAAGATGAACCGAGAAAAAAAAACAAGAGTATTTTGGCAATCGCCACCGGATGAAATCAGGAGAAAGAGCATATTGTTGAACCTACCTAATATGCCTAATCGATAATTTAATGTTACAACGACGATTTCGCTGTAGCTTGCCAAAACGGTACCATCGTACGGATTTCCGCTGTTCCACTCAAACGATTCACCATGCAAAAACACAAGCACCGGCAACTTTTTATCCGTCACAGCAGCTGCAAATAGATACATGAATAGTATAAGTTTCAAGTTTAAATAAATCAAACATCAATAGCAACATAAATTGTTCACATTTCTTTGAGTTTCTAAAGTATTCGTTTTCTGTTGAAATGCTCATTTCCTTTTTATTCATTTCTCGTTTTATTTCCCTCATTCATCGTCTCTTTCTTTCGTTTCGTATCATTACTTGTGATTTTATTTTCATTTTATAAATTGAATTTATGCTGTTCTCGAATCTATGAGATAGGTTACTCTCGAATTTTACATTTTTTTCCGTACCAAACACACCGAATTACAAACATGTCTGTAAAACATGACATACAGCCAATAATCAAAGCATTTGAACTAGTTTATTGCATCAGTTGCAAACGTCATTCAATATTGTTATATTTACATTGTTCACATCACACATAAAATATCGCACCCCCACATCTTTTTATTTAAGAATAAAGTCTTTCGTTGAATCAACGACGTTGACATCATTTCACTGTCATCGTATTAACATTCGACAAACGTAATCGCATCAAAAGTCAAGCATTGCTTATAAATGTGTAAAATTTATGGCACAAAGTCGTTCAGTTTTTACACAACGATTTAGTTAGAATCGACATTGTGTTCATCACACATAAAATAAGTGAAAATAGAGCACGGAAAAACGAATGAAATGAAGCAGCACACCGAATGCATACGGTATCAAAATAATACTCTAAGTGGAAGTGTGTGTGTTTGTGCCAGAGGCAACCGAATATATTGAGACTATTCGGATAACAATGCGTCAAGTGAAAACAAAGCGTTCACGATCGAAACGACAAAAAACTGATGATACGAATGTTTCAATGTGAACATTTCTATTTTATGCATGTCGGAAGCATTTTGTCTGCATTTTCTGCACAAAACACTACCAAATTCAACAATTGCACACAAAAAAAGCTTTTACAAAGCGAGAGAGCTGGAGATAGAAATAGGAAAAGAGAGTCAGCAGATAGAGAAATATGTATTCCGTTGAAATTGAGAAATAGTACAAAGAAGTTAACAAACCTATCGAGATTTTATAGAAACCCGTTAGAGAGAGCGACGGCTTTGTGTTTCGAATCCTCAGAGAAAATGCTTCTAAAAGGACTACAACACGCACAAAACTTCAAATGTGACATTCAGTTTTCAATAGAAAACATAAACTATACTTTAAATCTACCTAGAGTTTTACTTTTCCGCATACACCTAGTGTGGAAGGTAAAGTATTGGAATCGGTCGAAAAATTAACACCCATCAAAAATGTGTTTTCTGGGTGTTTTTGGGACCAGGGAACATGAATCTAGCGTTTTTTCGATGTCCGAATGTATGTGCGTACCCTCTACGCTGTACGCTGTACGCAAAAATTTGTTAACACGATAACTTTCAAACCAGAAAAGTAATTCAAAATTTGACTTCACAGGATGATTGGGGGTGCCGAGGAATAGAAACCATTAGATTTTGAGCGACTTTGGTTGATAGAGTGAAGTGTCATGTCTGGTGTGATGCTCATGCGAAAGAATCAATTTTTCTTCCAAAAGTGATATTTAATGTATTCTTAAACACTCAAAAATATGTATTGGGGGGTTTTTGGGTACGAGAAAACCGAATATGACGTTAGTTTTGCGATACAAACAAGAATATTTGGATACAAATATATTTCGACACACTTTTCATACAAAAATTTCAAAAAAATTTGATTTTTTAATGAAAAATGCCATGCCTGTATGATATCATAATTGGCTGAAACATTGCACAGGTTATTTTTATCACACAAAAATAACATTCCGAGGGTTTGAAGAGATTTCAATGCATATTGGGGGTACCTCCCGAACAAAATTTTGGTTTTTTTGCTCAAAAACGGAAATTTTGTATGGAAGGTACCACTCAATTATATTGAAATTTTTTTAAACTTTCAGAATGTTGGCTTTTTCTTAAAAAAATACTCTGTGCAAAGTTTCACGTCGTTACGATATCATAAAGGCATTGATTCCATACTAAAATTTCCATTTTTAGTGATTTTGGTATGAAAAATATATCAAGAATTATTTGTATCGCAAAACTAATGTCAGATTCAGTTTTTTCGTGAATTCAAATTACAGTAAAAGATATGTAATAAATGCATGTTGTGGATCGCAGTGCGGAAAAGTTCATCTTACGGATGTAAGACATTTTATTTTCTTTGTGTTTTATTTTAGAGAAATAGGAACTTTGTGTGCATCGCCTATACATTTCTCCTATTTATAGTGGTACATCTTTGATGGTAAAATTGTATGTCTACCATTGACTGAATGAAATTTCACAAATGTAATTGCAATTGATATAAAGTTGTAAAAAATCATCTCTAAAATGTTCAAGTATAAGTCTGTATTTAGTGAATGAATGTTACACAACGGTATTCACATTAAATGATACATTTTCTGTCGCAACCATTTTCTCTATTGCTTTTCTCGGAGGAATTTATTTATTTTATAATGACAAAAAACTTTTCACATTTATTTCATTACACTACGCTTACAATTACGATATATTTTATCATTACGATGATGATATTCAACGACAACAACATCGACACACGTATCGGATGCTGTGCAACATTTGTGAATGTGAACATTTTATAATAATCATATTCTTGAAGACTTATAACTCATTTGTTCATAATGAAATATGTAGCATATCATAACATTCTATGGCTATTCATTGAGACGAGTGTTTTTTCTTTCTTTATTTCGCTTCAATAACATTCCAACAACACATTGATTGCGATACATTGTATGGTTTGTTTGTTTTTAGTTTTTATGATGTAAAAATGTGCCCATTGATTTTAATCAGGTACAGAAAGGCTTTCATGCGTGTCTCCATCGTTTCTGTTAACAACAACAACAAAATATTGGAAAGAAAATCAGCATTTCGAATTGCACGAACCGATCTCAAATCATATGACAGATTCGACATTTTCCATTGAGCACATTCAAAATCAGATACATCGATTGCTCATAAAATATTCACCGCAGACAAATAAATCGATGTTTTGTGCGTTCGCCTATCATACATAAGTGTCACATCGAAAACACTCCTGAAATTGAGAGCTTTAAAATCGATATATCTGCCTTTCTTTGGTTTTTATCCCAATAAAATGTGGATTTTCGCATGTGAAATATTATTTTTCGGCAAAAAAAGAGCGTTTGAGAAGTAGATATAGAAAATGTTACGATTTGGTGTGTTCACCTAATATGATCGATTGATACAAATCCAAGTCGCAATCAATGTTCCTTTTTGTGTGCCTATATTATACTGCGTCGATTTTCTTTGTAGGTCGTTTCGAAAACGTGAACGATGAACGAATTGGCAAAAGCGTCGGCAATAGATAAAAAAAATTGTCGCCTATTAAAACTGATTTTAGTATGCCGACACAAAATATGAAAGCGTTTGAAATATGTGAGAGATGAAAATATGCAAGCGTAAAAAACCTTGAATAAATGAAGTGTAGAACGTTTGGCGGTGAATCATACCAAGTGAGAACGAGAAATGTGCCGAACAGATAAAGCAAGTTTTTGTTTGTTTAACAATTCCTCTGCTCTCTCTGACTCCTAATTTGGTTCGGTGCATTGTTTGCTTCGGGCTCAAAAAAGCATTTGGGAATTTTTTCGTATATCGTGTTGATCTGTCTGGTGTTTTGTGTTCACTGTTCAGTCTATTATTTTATTTAGTATGCGTGAGTGAGATGGAATAATGGAACGTTCTAGCGTAATCTCTTTAATCCAAATCGGTCAATGAATTTGATTTTCGTGCAACGAATTATTTTCCATGTTTGGTGTTCAATGTGTTTTTTTTTTGTGTGTTGTTGATTGTTGATCTTTTTTTTTTCTCGAAAAATCTCTAAATACTTTACGTCGACAAAGTTGACGAAACGGTACACATTGTCTATGTACATGATACATTCAGAAAAACGAGTTTTGTTTTATTTGTTGCATGAGTTTGAGCATATTTTGTGTGTCAACAACTTTTCAATGATATATAGGCAATATTTCAAAAGTCGTTGGCACATACGAACAAAAAGAAAAGGTAACAGTATCTTTTTTTTCACTATTTTTTTTCGTCGTCCATACTATGCAATCGAAATATGTTTGTGTCAATCTAGATCCTTGCAAACAAACAAAACAAAAAACAAACAAAAAAACGAATAAAACATAAACATTTCATGCATTGTAACATACCATGAGCTGGAGAGAAGATATTGAGGTAGAGGCAATCTTCGGACTGATTTTGCAGAAATGGCAATAATCGTTTTAAGTACTCCAGACGACCTTTTGGCATTTTTTCCAATGCACCCGTTTCGTTTTGTATGTTTGGTAGGCGTTGCGGACAGACGGGACTAAATTTATCGGATATTCGAATTCCATTCCACGGTGACGGTGCGCGTGTTGGACTAAATCTGAAAATACACGAATAAACAAACAGATTAAATTGAGTTTCATTTTTGTTTTCCGGAATTTAAACAATCAAATAAAAATGGAAATATGCTTGAAATGTTGATTACATCTTAAAAACAGATAACACTTCATTGCAAATAGTTGAAGATCCTGAACCACAAGCTTTTTACTGCACATCTTTATATATATCACGAAATATGGCATTTTTCTAGCTTACTGCAGTGATAAATTACCATGACATGAGAAGAAAAAAGTTGTTTGCCAAACATTTTTGTCGAATGCATTTTTCCCGTTTGGCGTGATTGTATGTATATGCATTATGTAGTTTTTTTTTCGTAAAAAGGTGTATATTCTTGTTTGGCGAAGTCGAATGAAAGAAGTAAATCGTTCTGCGAACTTGATAAAAAAAACACGACGTGCTCTTCGAACTTTATAGTCATGTTTTTCTCGGTGTACGCCCATTCTTTGTAGGTGCTGGTATATTCACAAGAACGCATGAAAAACTTGCGTTGCTTGACTAAAATCCCGGCGAACAAGTTGAAGAATAAAAATTTAAGTTTTCCAACATCGTTCACTCTTTCTTACACTTTTGATTTGCGTTGCATCAATGTTTCTCATTTGCTTATTTCAGTTAAAGTACGAAAGTGTTAACAGTGCAAAAAAAAATGGTGACGACCGACGAAGCAGTATCAAATAAGAAGTTGGCAAAGTGTGAAATCTCCATTTAGACGGGTTTTTTTATGCACGCGATGTACATTCATTTTTGCTCATTCGATACATTAATGTTTTATTCAAGCACTTTTTTTCCGTGTGCGTGTGTTTATGCGCGCTTTCATGTGCTTCCATCAAGTTTTACGGTTTCCGTTACACTTAAATCTTCGAAAGAAATCACGAGATAAGTTTCTGAATTATATTTTTGTAAATCAAAACCACAGCTGGATGAACATGCGAAAGTACTACGGGTATCCATATAAAAATGAAGCTGAAAAATTCCATTTCGCTGTTTCCCATATAACATATAAAAGTTAAACTAAATTTCAATTTAATTTTCAGAAGCACATTTGCTTGTAAATCGTTGGTGTTTTATTTTATTTCAATTTTTTCATCCCACATTTTTGTTTGTTTGCATTTCATTTTGTTTACCCACGAGACAGTTTACTGATCTCATTCTACAGATCTTCTATTTTTTTTATTTATCTACACAATTGCTCGAGGTGCTAACATGGTTAGAATCATTTGTATACATTGTGAAGATTTACAAGTTTTTTCTTTGCTCCATTTCGAAGCATTTGTTGCAATCAAAAAGAAAAAATGAAATGAAAATGTACAGATGGAAGTAACACAATTCGTGCTGTTGATGATTTTCTTGCTGCGCCAAATCGCATTGTAGTCAGAAAATGTTCAAGTGATGTCTTTGCAATGAGGGAATGCAAGAGTACACGATGAAGAGGTGCTCTCAAAAACGAAGCGACGACGTGCTAATGAAACGCATTAAAATCCTATGCCAAATGGCATTTACAGAATCAAAACGTATGTATACAACGTCCTTTTTTTGTGTGTGTCGATATCATAATTTCGTGAAAGTTTAGCGCTTGTTGAAGTTCATGTTTCTGCTCATGTTTCGTTCATTGTCGAATCTTGGAAATGGGGATGACGGAAAAAAATTGCTACGTCTCGGCATGAACTCAGTATTAATAGCGTATACATGAAGTGAATGAGTTGCTATTGTCCAAATTGGAAACTAGCGAATGAAGAAATTTCATTTGCTTAAATCAGACATGACAGCGTCAAAATGGTGGTGGCAATAAAAACGTTAATGAAGTATTTTATGCGCGGACTCAAATTATGATATCCAGTTGGTGAAAATTTTACTTTTCATTTTGTTGTGTCATTTCAAAATGAAAACATACCGTTCGAAACTAATGACGCTTCATCGAATACCGTTTTCGTTGTAATTTTCGAAAATTGAAGTGCTCGAACGGCAGATAGATATCAACGGGCCAAGTGAAATTATAGCGTGAAAAAGGTAAATGCTTTAAAAAGAAACTAAAAGACACAGAAACACTTTATATTCAATTTTAAATTGCACGTTTTATCGACAATTTTTTTTTCTTCTTCTTCGTCTTCGCTTCACGTTGGCATCTGCATTTCCATTTTGGCAACGATTCTTGCAACTAAAGCGAATACGATACACTTTTATTGTAAATTTCATCGTCAATATATTTTCGATTGGAAAAACGTGTACTATCTACAGACTCTGTGTATATAAAGATATATATGTTGAATAAGCGAATATGCAAACGGGATTCGGATGTTTGTTGTTTTTGTGTTCAATATTGAAACGGTTGAAATGTCTTATATTTGCTTTGTGATGCGTTTGAATACAACCACTCGATTTCATCATCAATTCGCAAAAATTTTTCGGATTGGTTATTATCATCACCACCGCTACCACCACCATCACCGTAAAACTAGATCAGTGCGGTGGAATTGGTTTAAGTGGTTTTGGCTTTTCACTGACGAAATGTCAGCTATGAAAATGTTGAGGTGTAAGTATTACTATTTAAGTTTATATTTGTGGAAAATCCCACAACTAAACTATTCAAATCATCATCCCATTCGGCGGAGGCGAAACATTCATTCAATGGCAATGCCATTTCGTTTGTTTTTGTTTTTCTGCATTTGCATTGCGGTCGTTTTCAACCGCCAATCCTATATGCAAGCACTTAGTATGTGTGTGTGTCATGCTTTTTTTTCCTGGAAGGAAGCCATAATTTTATTCGGTGCAATGCTCGTTTGTCTGTTCTTCTGTAATATTTTCCTCGCTTTGTGAATTTAACTTTTTTGTAGTGTACGAGTGTATTTCTTTTGCAAACACATCTCTACAAAACATACACTCACAACCACCACTATTTGAATATTTCCCATGCTAACTGAAATGAACATCTTTCGTCGTTGGCTTCGTGCTTTTTTTTCGTAGTCGTTTGTTTCGTTTTCATGTTTTTTTATATCATATTTGCATTTCTTGTTTATTCGTACGTTTTGTGTGAGCGTTTAGTTTTCCGTTACCATTAACAACTCAATAGCTCAACACTTTTCGAATTCGTTCCACATTCGTTCTTTTCGACACTTTTTATTCGATTTTCATACGTACAATTTGCTGCAGTTATTTCCTCTATCTCGCTCTATGTACATTTTTGAATTACATACATGTGATGTACATTTTTAAAGCAAGAGAACATGGCACAGAGAAAAAAAGACAAACCGAATTTCATTTCGTTTGCATATTCTCTCGACGTGCGCAATTCAAGAATGCCATTATTATGTACCAGATGAATGCGAAGTGGGAGAGGGGGAGGGAGAGAAGGATAAAACGAGAGAGAAATTTCGATTTAAATCGATTGTGAACCAAGCGCATCATCTCTATGAGTGGTGAAAATAAACACAAAACTGACGATGCCAAAGCTGATGTTGCATAAATTGTCCGATTTTCTCTCTTTGAGCACATATCGGAACAAAATTGTTCATCATCATTTTTTATACAGAGCCGGTAGGGCCAAACATAATGCAGAATGGACAAATGCAGAAATATGTATGAGCAACAGAAAATATTTCGGCACAAATACTCTCTAGTCTACACATAACATGCGAATAATTACCTTCAACATGTGTGCATGTAGTATGCGGCGAAATTGATGCTTCACACAGCGGTAACTCTTATTTGAAAATGTTATTTCGCGTATTTGGCGATGAAGTGATGTAGAAAAGTGAGCAAACGATATGTACCAACTTAATCGTGAAGTAAGTTGAGATGTAGATCTTTCATTTATTTACTCTCAAATTTATTTTACCGTGAACATTTTAACAATATATTCAAAATATTCAGTCTTCTGTATAATTTAAAATCATTGATTTTTCTTTTTATCTGCCGAATGAAAACGGAGTAGGACAGGATACGTTTTTGAATGGTATTTTTTATGCGTAATTGTAATTTAAGGGAAACACATACAATTCTGAAAATGTTTATTGAATAGGTGATAGTTTCGTTGTGATGTCTTATTACTTCGATTTTAAAATGAGACATTCCAAAATGATGACGTTTAAAAAAATCCCAAAATTCCTTTTGGATTGTTATTGTTATTAAAATCTCTTTTAATGTTCAAAGATTTCCTGTTTCAAATATTTCAAGTAATAAACGAAAAATGCATATTTTTGTATTGGTTGAAAAAAAAAGAAGATATTTGCAACATGAAAAAAAAAAACGAGACAATGAAAATAATGTTCAATATTGTGGATTAAAAACGCTTGCTGTGCATTGAACACCGAGAACATTCTGTATTACAATTGAAATACAATGTTATGAAAAGCACATATCCATGATTACCCGTCTGCTCGATTTGAATGCTTTCTGAATTCGACATATTTTCTCTGCTGCACTTGCATCCAACCTCATAAAATCAAATATGTGCATTGTTCGATGATACTTCGTGATAGAACGAGGTCATAAAGCCTCCCACATATTTGGCGATTGGCGCATAATATATGAGAAGCATTTTATTAATATTGATCAATGTGCAATGATTCACGAACGAGGATTATATTTGGAAAAACTGTCGATAGTTTGGCATGCAGATAAAAGTCAATGATTTTTATATGACCATATACAGTCATTGATGCACCCATGAAGTATTTGGATTTTCTATGTGGAAACACAACAAGAAAAGAAAAATAATCATGGGGTAAATATAATCTAGCCCAGCCATTGAGATTTTATTTATCCATTTTTACGTATTTATGATTGTGTGCACGGGTCAAACAAAAATCGAAATTACATTGAGTATTTTATAGCATAGTTCACAATTACAAGCATTTTACGAATGCTTGTGTGCGATTTAAACCCAATAAACATGCCACAACAACCACACAAATACTTACACACTGTTGCGGCTTTTGATGGTAAAACATTCATCAAAATATTTTCACATGAAATGAGGTCGAATCA